CACCCAAGCTGATTCCTAACCATTTCCCAGTGTGCATGCGCTGGTCCCACAATCTTCTGTGATGTCTCAGAAGGCTGCAGACTAGTTGGGTGGGATCACTTTGGGCAATCCAGGTAGGAGTGGGTACCTGTCAGAATCAGGTACCTGCTTAAAACCAGTACTTGGTGCCTGTTGCTGCCGTCAAAGGTAGATTTTCACGCCTAGGAATTGTCCATGAAGAGGAGCCTCTATTGCTTTCATATTTGTTGAGTGGAGAAATCCGATACAGCATGAGTAAGCTATATTATTTTTGTTCTTTGTGCTGTAAATTAAACTCTCAAAAGTAATTGAAGCAACAAACACATGGACCAAAACCAAAAGTGCAATGTACCAAAACCTTGAGGAAAACCCCTGAACTTTTCAGTTGGCCTCCTGTAGAAGTGTGTTTGGCTTTTCCAGCAATAATTACTGGTCTTAAAGTGGACCTGAACTCAAGAAGTGATGATTTGCTGTGTTAGAGAGCACATCAAGAAATGCCAAATGGGCAGAAGCAGTACTCTAGTCTACTTTGCTATTATTATTTTTTTTTTTTTTAGGAAATAGACAATGTACCTCCTGGTATGAATGTGTTTAGGCATAGCTGTATATCTGTAGTATAAATCTCAGATACTGCTGTCCCTAATTGCTAATCTCACAGGATTTGGAATAAGATTTTGTGATGTTACTTTTGTACTCTTCTTACTAGAGAAAAGAAGAGAAAGTAAAGCCCTGCTCCTCTGCCAACACGGCCTCCTTCGCACAGAGCAGAGCTGGCATGTCAAGTCTGTAGCGATGGCCCACAGGCAATACTGCTTACTAGTCCTTTTCTACTGCTTTTATTTATTTTTTTTTTTAGGCATTGTACACTTTCAAATGTTTTTTTATTGTTTTGACTAGATAATGGTGTAGTTGTATTCCATGTTTGTTTGCCTTACGTTTTTTTTGTAATGATGGGCTCACATGATGTGGCTGCAGTTTGTAGTGCAATGGCTGATCAATTCCCTTATGCCCATGTATTACTGCAGCTAGCTTGTCCCTGTTTGCTAAAGACAACTCCTTGTTCTGCGTCACACAGCACCCAATACATGACTTGCTATTTCCTTTGCATTGTATCACAAATGTGGGAGTGCGAAATATGAAACACTGCATGGAGAGCTCTCTATTTATTAATTGCTGTGCTTGTTTGTGTCAGATCTAACAAATGTTTATCTGTCACCAGCAGAACACTAGACAGAGGGATATGTATTTTCTGTCAGTTCACAGACTACAGAGGTCATACATTTAACCTATGCAGTGCCATGTCTCCATGTTTGAACACAAAGTTCTGACACAGCAATATGAAATTATACACAAATATAGGCTGTACGTAGAGGGCAGCAAAGGACACCATGAAATTACAGGATTCATGCATGTTCTAATCCATGTCCACTCTATCCAAAACTACATTAAAAAAAAAAAAATTTTGCCTTTTTTTTTTTTTTTTTTTTTTTTTTTTTTTTTTTTTTTTTTTACTTTTAACCAAGATGGCTTTTTATGTGGTTTTTTTGTCCCTTGACTTCGGCAAGGTTTATCAAATACTTACAAAGGCAAACCCTTAAAGTAAGTGAATTTAACGTCCTTTTTTTTTTTTTTTTTTTTTTTTTTTATTGAAAATTTTAACAGTTACACAAATAGAACAATCGCACGTTCCATACAATTCACATCCACTACTACCTATCGCTACAAAAGTGCTGGGTCTGTAAGGGAGGTCTGTAATTCATTTTAAAGATATATCCTAAAAGGCATAAGACTACAAAGTCTCAATTAGTACCAAAATAAATATGTATATATGTATGTATGTGTGTGTGTATATGTGTGTGTGTGTGTATATATATATATATGTGTGTGTGTGTGTGTGTGTGTGTGTGTGTGTATATATATCTCTATCATGAAGAGGAATCCAATATCCTTGCCTAGAGCCAGATGGTTCCTCTGCTCCCATACTAATCTTTTGCCCTAGAACACCATATTGCATACATATTAAGCATAAACAAGGGTGCCAATGCAGGCTCAGGGATGTATAACCAATCAAGCCACGGTTTTATTAAGAGACATATGGGTTAATTTAAAAAAAATAAATTAAATAAATTCTACTTGTCTAGGTGGATGCTGCATCCGTCACCTGCCAGCTCTGAACTGAGCGATCATACACCACTGATCACTCTGGGCTGTGGAGGGGGTGGGAGCAGCTAGCTGAGGCTCATCGCTTGGAAGCTGAGCCAAGTGCCAGGCCAGGCTTTTGGGTGGATCACAACCATATGGTCCTATGGCTTTGACTGGCTCTCTTTAGCCTGTACTCTGCTGACAATGGGTCACAGGGGTGCAGAATAAACTGCACTCCTGGGAGCCAGAGGAGAAGTGCAGCCAAACAAGCTTTGCCTATTTTCCTTTCTCTTTTTTTTTTTTTTTTTTTTTTTTTTTTTTAAGCCTCCCTGGAGGTATTCCCAAGTGTAGCTCGGGGTAAAGTTTCAGCAGCACAAGCGGTAACCCCGAGCTACACTCGGGAATACCCTGCAGCATGGCTCCGGGATCCCTTCTGCACTTGCCTTGTCCTGCGCTCCCGCGATGCCCCTCCTGCGGTGTCCCCTGTAATGTCCTCCGGCCCATGCCAGCATCTCTTCTGGGTTCCGTTCCCTGCGACATCGGGAACTTTACTGTATCAAACCATTTCACATACATTTTGTCCCGAGTGCTTTGTCCTGTGCCCTGCCTGCATTTTTACTGTTCTTTCTGCCTGAAAACTGAGAAACGTCCATGGCGTCCAAAAATGTCCCTTTAGGTCAAAAGCGGTTTGAGAACAGCTAGAGAAACAGCGATAGTAAATCAGAACTACTTGCAGAATTGAGTGATAATGATTCGTGGGGAAATTCATCAGCAGACACTGAAAACGATTTTGCGACTTTGCTCAGTGATGTGCGAACTTGGCGCTGTATTTCAAATTTCAGTGTTTTTGGTTTGATTATATTATTGAATTAAATGTATTTTATTTTTTATGATAAATTTATAGTTTATGATTTCGTGTTTCAAATTTTAACATACCCGGGATGTTTACTAGACTCTTGTGCGGACAGATTTCAGTGAGTTATTCTTAAAAATTACAGGCCTACAATAAAAAAAAACTACATATTTCCATGCAAACAAAATGTACCGCTTTGACCACAGCAATACTGATATAATCAGACTGCTAGGGAGGTTAAAGTGGTTGTAAAGGCTCAAGGATTTTCACCTTGTATTCTATGCATAAAGGTAAAATACCTTCTCTGTGCAGCAGGCCAACCAATACTTAAGCCTCATCGCAATCCAGTGATGTGCTCAAGAGCCTCAGCTCTCTGGGGACTCTCCCTCTTCATTGGCTGAGGCAACAGTGTAAGCCATTGGCTTCTGCTGCATCAATCAAAGTCAGTAAGTCAATGAGGAGCGGGGGGGGGGGGAGCCTAGTCCATTCTGTGTCTGAATGGACACGCAGAGCAGCGGCTTGGGAGCCCCCATAGCAAGCTGCTTGCTTTGGGGACACTAGGCAGAAGGGAGGGGCCAGGAGCACTGGCAGGGGACTGGAGAGGAGGAGGATTGGGGCTGCTCTGTGCAAAACAATTGCACAGAGCGGGGAAGTATGTTTATAATTAACGTGTTCGTTAAACCCTTTGATAGTACCCCTACATTGAAAAATGACGCTCTCTCAAAACAACTGTTTTTTCTATTCACCACTCCAAGTGTAGGTGATTGGAGATGGCACACTGTGCGAGTGCCTTCAGGCTTCATGGATAGTATGTGGCTCATTTTTAAGTCTGTTGCTAGGTAGGAAAACCTTCACTGGCAGGGCTGCCTACACAGTGTGTAGTTTGTACATTTTCCATTTCAGACATTTGTGTAGCACACAAACGTAATCTACATAAACCTTTAAAGGTACTCTCTAGTAGTATTTTTAAAAAGTAAAAGTGAGCCATGGAATGCATAGAGGAAACATAACCTACCTTTTTAGAAATTGAGTTTTTAATCTGGGTATAGATGTAGTGAGCTGGGACACCCTCTTGCATGTTGTACTGTTTTACAGATGCACACTATTTGCTACTAAATTGATAGAGCTAAGCAAGCAACATCGCTGTCATCACTTCCAGAAATCTGTAAAGCTCTCGTGTGCACACAGACTTTTGTGGTGTTTCCTGTGCAGATAAACACAGGATATTTTTCCATTGTCCCATTCTTTGATCACCGGCTGAAATACGTCACACTTTTTTTTTTTTTTTTTTTTTTTTTTATCCCTGAGCCAAAAAAAGGTATTGGCAGTATGAATTTTTCTAGCAGGTGGAAATAGGAACCAGCTGGATGGTCCTGAATTTTTTTTTTTTTTTTTTTTTTGCCTCGATTTTAAAAGCAAATTAATTTGCTGGATAATTCTGTGTTGATGCTTCAAGGATTCCATATTTTTTTTTTTCCCTCCCCCGAGATCCTTTTGGGAAGTAGTTTGGGCACCTTTGGATCCAGTTTATTGGTAAAGGAAGGGAAAGCTGCACTGATGGCTGCAATCGTGGACTTGTCGTTGGACAGAAGCATGTATGTAATAATCAATGGGATGTGGGTGCAAGGGACAGGATCACTGGGCGTAGGCCCTATTCTAGGTTGGAGATTAGGGCACTCTTTCTGCATCTTGTACGGTAGATCCGCAATAATGTTAGCATGATTATTATTATTAATCCCTGAAGTATAATTTTTTAATTACACGAAAACTCCCTAAAAACTGAATCGCTTTGCTGTGCAAAACCTGGGCCTGCCTGCTTTCTTTCTTCCCATACATGACTAAGTAGCTTGAAAATGGTGGCATGTGTGAAAGCTAATGCGGTATAAGCCAAGGCATGCCTCAAAACGTCTTTCCATGCAAGTCTTCACATTTATGAATGTGTGATTGTAGTAGGGTAATAATGGTCTGCTTTTTTGTTTTCTTTCAGATCCTTGCAACAGTCACATTTTTATTTTTTTTTTACTTTTTGTCTTTTACTTTCTTGTGTGTGGTTAAAGATGAAGAACGAAATTTCTGCTGCCGTATTTTTTCTGTCAAAGCTATTAAAAAATAACAGAAATTTAAGTAAGGAGGATATTGAGACATTTTGTGACGAACTGAGCAGAATTCTGTATGACAAGTATGTCAATCACTGGTATCAAGAAACGCCAACAAAAGGACAAGCATATAGGTATGTGAATAACTGTAACAAACGGGCTAACTGGCCCCTGAATGCATCTACAACTGGTTTTTGTATTGCTTGGCTTTAGACGGGTTAATAAAGAAGTTGTGAACATGCTATATTTATAGACCTTTTCTAATGCAGTTGTAACTATGCAGCTACCACTACTGGATTTTCTTAGTTTCAGAATTTATTCTTTCTTACTTTTTTTTTTTTTTTTTTTTTGCAAGGTTAAAAAGTTGTCTTGTGACCATCCAATTCTTCTGATAGTGGTGGGTGGGGTTACAGGACACTGTGCAGACACACTGCATTCTTGTGTTCCATAGTCTGTTCAGTCCAGGCAAGATGCAGGCTGTGCTTGAGCGAGAAGCGTATACAGAAGATGCAGGCTGTGCTTGAGCGAGAAGCGTATACAGAAGATGCAGGCTGTGCTTGAGCGAGAAGCGTATACAGAAGATGCAGGCTGTGCTTGAGCGAGAAGCGTATACAGAAGATGCAGGCTGTGCTTGAGCGAGAAGCGTATACAGAAGATGCAGGCTGTGCTTGAGCGAGAAGCGTATACAGAAGATGCAGGCTGTGATTGGGAGAGGTTATGTCCCAGAGGCAGATTGTGATTGGTCACGGGTGTGGTGGCTGAATAAAACTACCCAATATGGCATGCTTTGTGTCTGCACAGTGTCCTGTAATTCTAAATGACCAGCCAAAGGGTGAAAAATGACCACGTTAACACAGATCGGCTTCTGTGGTTTGTGTGGTTAGTTTAAGAGGAAGAAGGGTGACTGGCAGGTACTTCAAATAGAAGAAGTTCATGAAAAGAATGACTGACTTATACAATACACATACATTGAAAAATCTGTAAATATTTAGGGTAAGATAAACGTTAAAGCTGAATCAATGCACACATCTAAATGCCAGATGGAAATACATATGTGATGAACTGTTTTGTATTTCTGCTCATCCATTACGATTTATATTGTCATGTAACCCCGCATATCCAGGTGAATGATAGTTTTGTTAGGTCGCCACTGTATTCCTAACACATTCTTCAATGGTTTCCACCGCTAGCCTGCTGATTGGATAGTGAAGAAGCAGAATGAGAATCTCTTAAACTGGCTATAGATGGTTCAAATCCTGGCTGGGACTGGTCAAGATTTGATCCATCAATGGGTAGGCTGACTGTACCCAAGTCAGTCCATCGATTTCACTTGGCTACAAACAACATACTGTAATTGCATTTTTAGCGTGCAATAACTACCTGCTGCTATAGCCACTAATGGTAATCATTTATCAGGGCATTTATCAGGTGCTAAAGGGGTGTAGCCACATATTAATACTAGAAATCCCAGAGGAACTCTCAGCACACTAATTACCCATTCCAGCAAATGTTGCAATAAAAATAGTGATTTTAGTTCACATATATTGAAATACATGTTAAACTGGCCAGCTGCATCAAAGTAATCCCTCTATGGCCAGACCTACTCTGGTCTGCCAACACAAATGCTACTGTAGACACAATTCCAACCTGGGGGAGAGATACTAGGTTTAGGTCTGGCTACTGACCTACTATGCAATAGAAACAAGATATACAGTTGTGCTCAAAAGTTTGCATACCCTGGCAAAAATTGTGAAATTTTGGCATTGATATTGAAAATGACTGATCATGCCAAAAATGCTCTTTTTATTGAAGGATGATGATCATATGAAGCCATTTATTAAATAGTTGTTTGGCTCCTTTTTTAAATCATAATGATAATAGAAGTCGCCCAAATGGCCATGATCAAAAGTTTACATACTCTGGAATGTTTGGCCTTGGTGCAGACACACACGGGTTAAAATGCCAGTTAGAAGTTAATGTCTCACATCTGTGGCTTTTTAAATTGCAATTAGTGTCAGTGTATAAATAGTCAATTAGTTTGTTAGCTCTTTTGTGGAAGCACTGTCTAGGCTAGATACTGAGCCATGGGGATCAGAAAAGAACTGTCAGAAGCCCTGCGTAACAAGGCAATGGAACTTTTATAAAGATGGAAAAGGACATAAAAATCAGCCAGCCAATCAGTACTGTTATATAACCTATTAAGAAGTGGAAAGTTCGGGGATCTCTTCATACCGAGCCAAGGTCAGGTAGACCAAAAAATATTGCAGCCATAACTGACAGAAGAATTGTCCGGGACTCAAAGAAAAACCCACAGGCAACCTCAAAAGAAATACAGGCTGCTCTGGAAAAAGATGGTGTGGTTGTTTTTAAGGAGTACAATACAGTTATACTTGAACAAAAATGAGCTATTTGGTTGGGGTGCCAGAAAGAAGCTTTTACTGCACCAATGCCACAGAAAATCCCAGTTACAATATGCCTGACAACACCTTGACACCTTGACATGCCTATCCAGGCCTTTTTGTGTCATTGATGCACAGATACCGCTTCCAAGTTGACTTCCATGTGGGTGCACAGCCCTGAATGCATGCGGTCTACATTCTGGGCCATGCACCCTCCCAGATGTCAAATTGGGAGTTTGTCAATTGGCAATTGGGAGTTTGTCACTGCAACCGCTGAGTACCTATAGACATTTAATGGGACTGCTTGCTCATCGATGGACAAAACACTTGTGCATCCTCATGCGGGTAAACATGGCGAGTGTATGCTGTAGTACGTTCTGTGAGTGAAGCCGGTTACTCACTGTAGGCTAATTTTATGTACTGAGAATGTAACTAAAAACTCCTGTTGGCAGTGCATCTAATACATGTAAAGTAATTCCTTTTTTTTTCCTCCCTTCCTTTTTCTAAGATGTATCCGTGTGAACCGATATCAGGGTGTTGATCCAGACCTCCAGAAGGCTTGTTTCAACAGTGGTTTAATTTATGAAGACTTGGGCTTACCCAAAGAAATGACATTATGGGTGGATCCATATGAAGTCTGTTGCAGGTAATCAATGTAAGATGGCCATAGATCTCCAAAAGTATTTGAATGCTCAAGCACAAATCTGACAGTCCCTGAGTTCTCTTGTTCATCTTTAGCCATACAAAAGGGATGCTCTGGTTGTCCAAGCATTTCTTTAGTTTGTGAAGGATGGAGAGGTATTAGCAGATCAATGATATTGCCTTGGCAAAGTGTTGTGTTTTTTTTCTTGTTTTTTTTTAACAGATGTGTCTTGAAATAATCAGTGTCAGCTGCCCTCAGTAATTCAAACTGCAGGTCTGTACTTCTGTGTCCTCCTAATGACCTATATGGGTCAGCGGGATATGCTAGTGTCAGACTTGGAGGCATGAGAGGTAAATATGAGCGCTCTTCTTTGGAGGGGTCATTTTGACTTCAAATGCATCCTCGTGATGGTTGCTGTAAAAAATTATTTACATACACTAGGCTCTGTCTACAAAACTAAAGCCAGCCATAGATGAGTCAAAAACCAAACGTAATGGCGCTCAGAAAAAGTACCTGATAGGATTGTGCCATCATTTGTTTGTCTTTCCAAAACAAAACACCCAGCATGTTGGATCAGGCACTTTCGACTGCTTGTGAAAATTGCATGTTGCAGCTGGCACACTAATGATGCAATAAATGAACGATTTCAACAATCAACACAAATTTTGTTCGGTTTTCGAATTCTCTATGGTGGGCTTAACATAAGGAACAAGGATACTTATTTTCAAAAAGTGAGTTATTTTTGTCTGAGTCCAATGAGAGGTGAAAATTGGGCACATGGCTAAAATAAAGATCATTATCATGGTATTAAAGCTTTGTGAATTGAGCCTATAGGATCATTTGCATTAAACAGATCTCATTTCCCCTTATTGTAAAATTGATTGAATGGGATTTGTGTCATTCTTTTTCAGAAAATGAGAAATTACAGTACTTCTAATATTAAAAAAAAAAAAAAAAAAAAACTTTCATTATTGCCCTTTTGAAAGTAGCAAATCTGGCCATTTGAATCAGGGCGGACTATAAAATAAACTGCCAGCCTTCATTAAACCTTTCTACTAGCAAACACACTCACAAAATCAGTTGGTTACTTTCCTCAGTTATATACAGTTGCAAGAAAAAGTATGTGAACCCCTTGGGATTACATGGAGTATTGCATGAATTGGGCATAAAATGTGCTCTGAACGTCATCTAAGTCACAACAATAGAAGAACACAGTCTGCTGAACATAATACTACACAAACATTAGATGTTGCCATGGTTTAATTGCACATAACATGTAAACATTCACAGTGCAGGGAGGAAAAAGTATGTGAACCTTTGGACTTAATAACTGGTTGACCCTCCTTTGGCAGCAATAACCTCAACCAAACGTTTCCTGTAGTTGCAGATTAGACCTGCACAACGATCTGGAGTAATTTTGGACCACTCCTCTTCACAAAACTGTTTCAGTGTAGCAATATTCCTGAGATGTCTGGTGTGAATTGCTCTCTTAAGGTCATGCCACAGCATTTCAATCGGGTTGAGGTCAGGACTCTGACTGGGCCACTCCAGAAGGCGTATTCTGTGCTGTTGCAGCCATTGTTTTGTTGAATTACTTGTATGCTTTGGGTCATTGTCCTGTTGCATCACCCATCCTCTGCGGAGCTTCAGTTGGCGGACAGATGGTCATACAATTTCCTGCAAAATGTCTTGATAAACTCTGGAATTCATTTACCCATCAATGACAACAATCCGTCCAGGCCCTGAGGCAGCAAAGCAGCCCCAAACCATGATGCTCCTTCTGCCCATGCTTTACAGTGGGGATGAGGTTTTGATGTTGCTGTGCTGTGCCTTTTTTTCTCCACACATAGTGTTGCCTGTTCTTCCCAAACAACTCAATCTTGGTTTCATCTGTCCACAGTATATTTTGCCAGTAGTGCTGTGGAACATCCAGGTGCTCTTTTGCAAACTTCAAACATGCTGCAATATTCTTTTTGGACAGCAATGGCTTCCTCCGTGGTGTCCTCCCATGTACTCCATTCTGTTTTAATGTTTTCCTTATTGTAGATGTGTCAACAAAAATGTTAGCATGTGCCAGAGATTTCTGTAGGTCTTTAGCTGACACTCTGGGATTCTTCTTTACCTCATGCAGCATTCTGCACTGTGCTCTTGCAGTCATTTTTACAGGACGACCACGCCTAGGGAGAGTAGCAACAGTGCTAAACTTTCTCCATTTGTAGACAGTCTGTCTTACCGTGGACACATGAACATCAAGGCTTTTGGAAAACTTGTAACCCTTTCCAGCTTCATGCAAGTCAACAATTCTTGATCGTAGGTCTTCTGAGAGCTCTTTTCTGCGAGGCATGGTTCACATCAGACAGTGCTTCTTGAAACCAGTAAACCCAAAACAGGGGTGTGTTTTTTAAGGGCAGGACAGCTGTCAGCAACACATCCAATATCATCACACTGATTGGAGTCACGGTTGGCTCACTCCTGGCTCCAATTAGCTCTGGGAGAAGTCATTAAGCTAGGGCCTCACATACTTTTTCCTCCCTGCACTGTGAATGTTTACATGTTATGTGCAATTAAACCATGGCAACCTCTAATGTTTGTGTAGTATTATGTTCAGCAGACTGTGTTCTTCTATTGTTGTGACTTAGATGACTGTCAGAGCACATTTTATGCCCAATTCATGCAAAATCCACGTAATCCCAAGGGGTTCACATACTTTTTCTTGCAACTGTATGACTTTCAAAATCCCATGGCTTGGTCCACCCCGTAAAACCTTCTGTACTATTTACCAATATATTGCCCACCAATGACTTCTACAAAAGGTCTTGCACATGCACTTTGAGATCTTGTGTGGTTTGTGTGTTCTGTGTGGGGGCAGGGGAATTATTTAACTTCCCCAACATTTTTGGAGACTTTGCACTTTACCAATTGATGGCTTTCTAGAAGGCACTGAAGACTTAGTCTTCCAAGTGGAAAGCTGAAAGTCACTGGCTACTTTGGCAGTGCTTCGAAATGGGTAGAAGTGAAAAAAAAAAACTAAATTGGAACTTTTGTTAGAAATTAAGTCGTCCTAGATCACTTCAGGCTGGCCCCTTTTGCAGGTATAGCTATGTAAAACATGAGTAAGTGCCTATACTGTTTAAAAATCCAGTCATTTTCCATCTCGCCTAGCTCTGCGCATGCTCAGTTGCTCTGGTCTTTTTGGTACAAAAAAAAAAAAATCTGCTGACGGCCTAAAAATTTACTGCTGCTCAAGGGCACTGGTTTTCAGCAAAATGGCAGCCTCCATCAAGAAGGAACAGGAGCAATACTGGAGGCAATTTTCAGCATGCACTAAATTTGGTAGCATATTTATTAATGTCGAATGTATGTTCCTTGCTAAAGAACATTTTTTTGATCAGGTTGTTATGGGTAAAGTTTCACTTTTAAGTTAATTTTAAGAAGAAAAAAAAGGGACTTTTAGATGTGTACAATGTTTACTATTGAAAATGAAAAGTTGCTTGCATCTCTGCTTTTACTGCTTAGGGGGAAAGATCTGCCTGCAGCATAAGCAAGGTCTGCTTATTAACCTTTCTCTCTCCTCATGGCAAAACTTTGTAAGCCAAAAAAAATCTGTAAACATGCTTTCCTTTCTGCCACCTGCATGGGGTGATGTTATGCCCCTTCTGACAAGATCTTGGAGAATGCCAGGGAGCCCAAATTGCCCTGGATACTATTATTATTATACAATATTTATATAGCGCCAAAGGGTTTGCTCAGCGCTGTACAATAGCAAGGAGGACAGAACATGAGACAAGACAGTAACAATACAATACACGAGGGGTTCAAGGGCCCTGGTCTTTTTCGAGCTTACTATCTAGGGGGAGGGGAAAGTGGTACAGGAGGAAATGGCTATAGGGGCTGGAGTGGTGGGAGGAGTGGAGGAGGTCAGTTGTTAGGTGAGGGTGGGGTAGGCTTCCCTGAAGAGCTGGGTTTTCAGGGTGCGCCTGAAGGTGAGGAGGGTAGGTGACAGTCTGATGGATTGGGGTAGGGAGTTCCATAGGATGGGGGACGTCCTGGAGAAGTCCTGCAATCAGGCATGGGAGGAGGAGACCAGGGAGCTAGAGAGTAGGAGGTCCTGTGAGGAGCGAAGGGCACGGGTAGGGTGGTATTTGGGTATCAGGTCGGTTAGGAAGTTTGGGGCGGCGTTGTGAATGGCTTTGTAGGTCAGAGTTAGCAGTTTGAATTTGATGCGCTGGGCAATCGGGAGCCAGTGGAGGGAATGGCAGAGGGGGGTGGCGGATGTGGGGTGGATGAGTCTCGCCGCTGAGTTCAGGATCGACTGGAGTGGGGATAGCGTTTGTTTGGGTAGGCCAGTGAGAAGGGAGTTGCAGTAGTCCAGGCATGAGATGAGGGAGTGTAAGAGCTGTTTTAGGAGTGTCTGGGGTGAGGAATGTACGTATCTTGGAGATGTTGCGGAGGTGGAGCCTGCATGACCTTGATAGTAAATGGACGTGAGGTTGGAAGGAAAAGTTTGAGTCCAGGGTGACACCCAGGACTTTGGCATGTGGGGTGGGAGTGGTGGTGGCTTTGTTAGTAGTGATGGAGAGGATGGGGGGGGGGGGGAGAGACCAGGAGCTCGGTTTTGGACAGGTTCCATTTGAGGAAATGTAGCGACATCCAGTCTGATATGTCGTTCAGGAGGTGGGCGATGCGGGCGGAGAGTGAGGAGGGGGTGAGATGGGGGGTGGAGAGGTAAATTTTGTGTGTTGCCGGCATAGAGGTGGTAATTTTAAGAAGTGGGAGTGTATTCGTTTGCCAAGGGAGGAGGTGGAGATGGAGAAGAGGAGGGGTCCGAGGACAGAGCCTTGGGGGACCCCAACAGAGAGTGGGAGGTGGGAGTGTGGCAGTGTTATAGGTGACGCTGAAGGAGCGTTGGGATAGGTAGGAGGAGAACCAGGAGAGAACAGCGTCCCTGATGCCAAGGGAGTGCAGTTTAGTAAGGAGGAGAGGGTGGTCGACTGTGTCGAAGG